GCACCCTCGGACACCATTGACGCACCCCGTCAGCGTTATTCTTGATTTTGCTGAAGAAAGGGGCCTCGTGGAGCGAGATTCACGCGCGCCCTCGGAGGTATTTGCCATCAATCCAAACTACCCCTACTGTCGTTTCCACCGACACCAGGGGCACATGACTGATGATTGCCATCAGCTGAAGACGGCCATCGAGAAATTGATACAAGCGGGCCATCTGTCCCAGTTTGTCGAGGGCCCTTAGCAACAGGCCCCCCCTCATCAGGGGCCATCCCGAGGGCAAACTGCAAGAAGGAATGCATGGGTCAACCCCAACACCATCCCCCTCGGCAAGAAGAGGGAGATTGGAAATCTGGAGGAGGAGGAGGAGGAGGAGTACCCCCGGTATCAAGAAAAGAAACGCCACATCCTCATGACTACGGGGGGAAATACCGGGGGTGACTCCACAAGTCAACGAAAGAAGTGGGCTCAATCACTTTACGTGGGGGAAGTCACTCATATGCCCCCGGTTAAGCAGTTGAGGGAGGAACCCATTATCTTCACCAACGCTGATCTCCCCCCAGTATCCTCCCCCCACAGGGATGCCCTCGTCATCCGCACAGAGATCAACGACACCATTATCCACAGAACTTACATTGACACGGGCAGCTCCGTCAATGTAATGTATCTCAGCACCTTCAGAGAGCTGCATCTGGAGAGGGGGTCCCTTCGGCCCATCAAGACCCCTCTCACCGACTTCACCGGCGACACCATTGATTCCGAGGGGGTCATAACCCTCCCGGTCATCTTTGGCGACGGCCTCCATAGAGCCAAGCTCGAAGTGGAGTTCGTCGTCGTCAACATCGACTGCACCCACAACATCATCCTCGGCCGGCCAGCCCTCGAGGACCTCGAAGCCGTCATCTCCATGAGGCATCTCTGCCTCAAGTTCCCAGCCGAGGGGGGAATCGATTACTCAAGGGGGAACATAAAACTTGCCCGCGCTTGCTACCTTCAAGTTACGAAGAAGGTTAGCAAGACGGAGTTCCGCGTTGACACCATCACCGGAACTGTGGAAGCAGAAGAAAGGAGGCCGAGGGCTGAACCAGCCGAGGAGGTAGAAGACTTCGCGCTCGATCCAGCCAAGCCGGAGAGAGTCGTGAAGATTGGAGCCAAGCTCCCCGAAGACTTGAAGACCAGCATCATCAGCGCCCTCCGCGCCTACTCCATTGTTTTTGCATGGGGGCCGGAGGACATGCCGGGGATCAGCCGAAGGGTCATCACCCACCGCCTCTCGGTGGACCCTTCGGCCAAACCAGTACAATAGCGGAGGAGACCCCTCTCGGCCGAGAGAAGGGAATTTGTGAAGAAAGAGGTCGCCATGCTTCTTTCTATCAAGCACATCAAGGAGGTGAAATACCCCTCATGGTTGGCAAACGTAGTCCTCGCACAAAAACCGCCCTCATTCCGCATGTGCGTGGACTACACGGATCTCAATAAGGCGTGTCCCATGGACCCCTTTCCTCTGCCCAATATTGATCAACTGGTGGATGAAACCGCGGGGTGTGAATTCATGTCATTCCTAGACGCATTCCGCGGATACCATCAAATATACATGCACAAGGAAGACGCTGAAAAAACAGCCTTCATGACTCCCGAGGGCATCTTCTGCTACCTTGTCATGGCCTTCGGCCTGAAGAACTCAGGCGCCACCTACACTCGGATGGTGGCCAGGGTATTTCAAGTTGTCCTGGGGTGCACCATGGAGGCATATGTTGACGATATGATTGTCAAAAGCAAGCAGTCAGCAAACCATGCTGACGACCTGAGGGAGATCTTTGCCATCATCAGAAGTTTAGCCTTCGGCTGAACCCGAAGAAGTGTACCTTCGGCGTCCAGGGGGGGAAATTCCTGGGCTACATGGTTAGCCGAAGGGGTATTGAGACCAACCCCGAGAAAATCCAGGCCATCATCAACATGGAGCCCCCACGCAACGTGAAGGAGGTCCAACGGTTGACGGGCCGCCTGGCAGCCCTCAACCGCTTCTTATCAAAATCGGCGGAGAAGTCCTTACCCTTCTTCCAGATCATGAGGAAAACCGCCGGTTTCCAATGGACTTCAGAATGTCAGGGGGCATTCGAGGAGCTGAAACGATACTTATCTTCGCCCCATGTGCTCTCTAAACCCAAGGTAGGGGAAATCCTGTACCTCTACTTGGGTGTTAGCCCGGCTGCCATCAGCTCTGTACTCATCCGGGAAGAGGATGGCATCCAACATGCCATCTTCTATGTTAGCAAGACCCTCACGGAAGCGGAGCTCCGGTACTCCCCCGTGGAAAAGACGGTGTTGGCTATCGTGTGGACCGTCAAGAAGTTGGGCCATTACTTCCAGGCTCACCCGGTCCAGGTCCTCACTCACCAACTCCTCGGCGCCTTGATGAGGGGCCCCACTAGCTCCTCCCGAATGGTAAAATGGGCTGTCTTCTTGAGCCAATACAACATCGACATCCGTCCTAGGCCCGCCATCAAGGGCCAAGCCCTAGCGGACTTCGTGACGGAGTGTACGGCGAGGGCAGCCACAGATGAAGAGCCCTCGGCCCCTTCAGATCACTGGTGGACCCTATACACCGACGACTCCTCCGCCATCAAGGCATGCGGAGGAGGGGTGGTTCTCATCTCACCCGAGGGCTTCCGGGCCTATTATGCAGTCCGTTTCTCCTTCAAAGTCTCCAACAATGAAGCCGAATACGAGGCTCTCCTCTGTGGCCTTCGACTGGCAGCTAACATGAAGGCCCGACAAATCCACGTCAAGTGCGACTCCAAGTTGGTCGTCGGCCAAATCTCCGGGGAGTACGAGGCCAAGGAAGGGAGAATGAAGCAATACAATGAGGCGGCCAAGGAGTTGCTTAAGGTATTTGAGGCTCACTCTCTTACTCAAATACCGAGGGCTCAAAACTCCGAGGCCGACATTTTATCAAAGCTCTCGCCAGAATCCCCTGAGCACGTCTCCAATATCGCCAAAATAGAAGAACTCAGCCTCTCTAGCATACATGCTAGCCCCGTCATTAACATACAACAAAGACAGGAGGACTTGATCTCAGACATTGTTGCCTTCATCACCACAGGGCAACTGCCCGAGGATGAGGCCCGCGCCAAGCTGGCAAAGATGAGGGCTCCCAGCTACACTATCGAGGACGGGAGGCTTTACAAAAGGTCCTACAACGGTACGTTGCTTCGGTGCCTTCATCAAGATGAAGCCGAAGTAGCAATGGAGGAAGTACACAGCGGCACTTGCTCAGCTCACCAGGGACCCTTCTCCATGTCCCAAAGGCTGATAATCCAGGGCTACTTCTGGCCTACGATGGCCCGGGATTGTGCGGACCTTGCCCAGAGGTGTCCCGCATGCCAACACTTCCAGAAAGCCCTCGGCAGGCCAGCGGTCAACTATGCCCCCATCAGCACATCCATACCCTTCGCTCGATGGGGCATAGATCTTGTGGGCCCTCTGCCGAGGGGTACCTCCAACAACAGGTACATCATTGTCGCCATCGATTACTTCACCAAATGGGTGGAGGCTGAGCCCCTCGCCAGCATTACTGAGGCCAGGTGCCGTCACTTTGTTCTCAAGAACATCCTCACCAGATTTGGCGTCCCTCAGCAAATCATCTCCGACAATGGGACTCAGTTTGAGGCAGCCCCCTTCTGTGCCCTCCTAGAGGCATGGGGCATCAAACACACCTTCTCATCCGTTGCCTGCCCTCAGGGCAACGGACAGATGGAGAACGCCAACAGAACATTGCTCGAGGGCCTCAAGAAGAAGCTGGAGGCCGAAAGGGGTGGTTGGGTAAAAGAGCTCCACAACATCTTATGGGCTTATCGTACCACCCCTCGGCGGGCAACTGACGAGACACCCTTCTCCCTTTGCTACGGATTTGAAGCCAAAGCCCCCACTGAGGTAACTCTCCCAACCCGAAGGGTCACACAAAATGATCCGGAGGCCAACGACACCAATATGGCCCTCGATCTCCACCTGGAGCCCTCAGCACCAAGGGGGTCCCCAGTACTCAGAGCCCTCGGCTAGTCCTCTACAGCCGAGGGCACCTTTCCTGACATGATATCCGCGCCACATGCGTACAGATCACCGTACCCTGTACAACGTCTCATCCAACAGCCGCATTAAATGCGGCCACATGCGGTTGCCAGCGCCAACCAGTTGAGGTGACCTCTCGGCCAATGGACGCTTGACACGTGTCCGTGTCCGACATTTATTGCTACTATAAATAGCACCCCATTTCCCCATTTTGTAACAACGCTGAAAACGCTGAACACTTTACAATATACTTTCTCTCTCTATACTTACTTGCTCTGACTTCTCTCTTATTATTTCCCGTAATAACCCCTCGGATAAGCTACCCCCCGGGTACACTATCCATCAGTTGACTTGACCGGCTGGACCCACAAATTTGGCGACTTGCTACTTTGAGAAGATATCCTTTCCGATTTATGGTCAATCATTTGCCTTAAATGTCTTCTCGTACGTATCCGCATTTAATGTGCATTAAATGCGTGAATAGTACACTTTCCGTTGATAGGCTACTAGCCGTTAGGGAATTTTCCGTTGAATCAACCGGCTTAGAAGTGCTTTTGAAAATCTCTATGTGTCAGGCTGATAAGTCTGATTTGTTCATATATTTTAACCCACATTTTATAGCGTTTCTTGTTAAACTTGGGGCAAATTGAAGCATTTTTCTACGTTTTTGTTGCATTTTGTGTTAATGTTTGAAATTAGTGTTGAAATTTACATTTTTGAGTGATTTGTATTTAATTCAAGTGTTAGTATTGATTTTGTGTGTTTTTTTGCTTAGTTGTACCTTTCTTGTTTTGTGATTTTTCAAATTTCAGAATGTTATATATATTTGAGTTTGATATCTTTTACTACAATAAACCAACGAATTAATGAAAAAAAACAAACAAAAAAAAAGATAAAACAAACCCAAAAGAAAAACTGCAGCAAGTCTGCGTCACAAAAAAAGCAAGCAAAATAAAAAGAAACAAAACAAAGGGGAGTACAAAATAATTGCAGCTGAGCTGCGAAAAAACAGTCAACGAAAAGAAAAGGGAAAGAACCAGCCAGCTGCTTCACATGGGCGGCCAAACGAGAAGGGACAGGAGCTCGATCCATCACTCGCAGCCAAGGAAGAAATAGAAGATAAAAATCCTGGGAGAGCAGCTGGCCAAAAACAATACACTAATACAGCCACAGAAACAATTCACACCCCAGCTCTTGGCCGCAGAGAGTTCTTGGCAGAAAAAAAAACACAGGCATGGGATAGACTCACAGAACAGTTCACGCCGGCAGCTCTTGACGACAAAGCAAGGACAGAACCAAGGCAATTTTTTTTAGAGAAGTTAGCAGAAACAAAGAAGAAGAACATACCAGCAGCATTAATTCCAGTTTCATCTTTCAATTTCAATCCTAATTTCATGCATAGATTCAACCTTCAAATAGCTTTCAGTTTTAATTATTGTATTACTCCGTATTCATATTCCAAATTGTTATTTACTTGGACAATTGTGTTTGTTAATGATCCTTAATTAGTGTTCAGTGACATCCGTTGATTACTCTAGGTCTTTTATTTATTGTCTTAGTTTCTTCATAATTATGTTAGGCTAAATCTTTATGGGGTTTGGATTTGGATAGAGTTAAGGTTAATGGGTGTTCTTGAATATTGAATTAAATTTAGGAACTTTCTTCAATTTTTAGGACTAGTTGTTTGAGATGAAATTGAAAGAGTAATTTGTGAAATTGATCACTTCACTTGTGAATTTTTGGAAGATTAATCCTTTCTTGTCTATGAGTTTGGAATTAATTTAGCTCACATCTCACACACCTTAAATAAAGCCTAGAAATAGGACATGTTAGCGGAATTAAAATTAAATTCTTGTCTATGAGAATTAATGTCACTATTCTTAGATTGAAGAAATTATCCCATTTTTATTTATAATCAAGACATCCAAAATCCTTAATTCCAAATCTAGACCCCACTTTTAATTAGTTAATTTTATCGTTGTTAGTTACGTTGAATTTGCCTTTGAGTATTTTATTTATGAAACTTTACTCATCCACATGTTTGCTAGCTTAATATTTTAATTAGTTAATATTCTCTCTCAAGTTATTTTGCATGTTCACTAGTTTTAGTTTACTCATTAATGTCATTTAATTAAATTCTTCGTTACTACTTTTGTTATTTATTTTTATTTCTTTAATCACCATCACAATTAATCGTTTGAGAAAGTTTGCAACGACTCGTACTAACCGGTGACCAATATTGAAACCAACACTTCCCTTCGCCACTCCTCAGAGACACGATACTCGGGGAAAAACCGAAAGGTTAGACTCCGTTTTACTACAATGCCGTGAAAAGCGATTATCACAGGTCTTCTGAAATCTTCAACAGATAGTCCACCAGAGAAGGTCTTGAGCACTTCTGTTGGAAAGTAAGTGACCAGAGGGTCTTCGGTCCTTCTGTCAAGGTAGAGGCCAACAGAGGACCTAAGTGCTTCTGCCATAGTGGAGTCCAACAGAGAGTCAGGAGGACTTATGTCAAGGAGCTATCACCAAAGGGTCTAAAGATATTCTGTCTGGAGGTCTTCTGTCAGTCGACTATACTAAAACATTTACAAAGAAAATTCTAATACAATTTTCTACAGGGGTACTTTCTAAAGTCCTATAGCATCATCAAAATCTAATTACAATTATTCCTTACAAATTTTTTAGAGGCGAATCTCTCAAATGACTTCGAGAAGCGAGCGCGGTCCTTGATTCCTTGTGGCGTCCCAAACGGTGAATCCCAATGCACTTTACCATCACCCCATTGCCCAGGCCAATGAAAATCCCCATGAGACCGGTGGGCGTAGCTCAACTGGTAGGAAGGGAGTGCCACAAGGGTTATGTCCCGGGTTCGAATCCCGGCAATTGCGATGAGGGGTTACTATGCTAAAAAATGCATAGGGCCTCTGCAAGTACCGGGGACAGAGCCCCACTCTCTATCTGTCAGATTGAGATTATAGTCCAACTTACATCCTCCCAACGTACTGTCCGGTCGGGGTTGGGGGCCCCTCAGGGATGGGGTGTCATCCTTTTTTTTTATGAAAATCCCCATGAGATCTCTTCAGGCAATCAACACGATTAATGTCCTCGCGGATTCTTCCGGCCAAAAGAGCGCACTTTCGAATCCATGGTTTGAGGTACTCTGGATCTATATCCATTGATGGAATGGTTATGACGTCCCAAATTAGCCCAGCCGGAGGGTGTAAAGCACCGATCAGACCAAATCCGCCGGCTGCCCCTCCGTTCCAAACCCTCAATTGAACAATAATTATACACACACACACACACACACACACACACACATATATATATATATATATATATATATATATATATATATTAGAGATCAAATGCAAACTCATCTTAATATGCTAACCTACAAACCTAATCCTAGCCATCCATCTTAATTAGATTACCACATGGTTGATCTTTTAATTGATGGGCTAAGTGGTCTTTTCAGTTTGTTTTTATTTTTGGAAAAAGCATACATACTCCCTAATATCCCTAGCTAACAAATTCCTTGTGGTTATTTACTTTCCATCCACATTCATTTATCAACATCATTCGCCAGAAAAGAACGTCGTCCCCATCTCCTTTTGTACGTGTTTCCATCTTCATCCCTACATCATTCCATCTCCAAACTTTTCTTTGATAATTCATCTCCATCTCCAAACTTTTCTTTGATTATTCAGTTCCTAGTGACCATTAATAGGGAATTTCTCTACAACATAAGCAATTATTCTATGTTTTGGTAATAATTTCATCCCCATTTTCTTCCCCATGAAATTCTGCACTTCGGATACTTTTTTAATTCTTTATATTAGGTTTAACAGATTTTGACATTTTGGATTTGAATCCATTGTGCAAGCCAAGAAACAATCTTTTTTCACTATGAAATTTATCATATTTAACGTTTTGATTTTTGTCTTCATGAAGTTCATCAATTTCGTATTTATGCAGAAAAATGTTTAAATATTTCTACATTAATGTGCCAGAAATATTATGTATTTTGTGACCTCATGAGTTTAGTATGCATGTCTGTTAGTATATAATGCATGCGCCGTAGAGATAAGATGTAGTATGAACTTCTAAAGTGCACATATAATCTCACTAAAATGCAATATATGAGCTTATAAATGCACAGGTCACAATGATAAAATGCAACACATGAACTACTAAGGTGCAGACGCCAAAGTAGTAAGATGCAATATGGACTTCTAAGATGCAGCATATGATCTCCTAAGATGCACATGTCATCTTACCGAAATACAATATACTCTGTATGAACTTCTGAAAATGAACATGTGTAGTGATGATACAATGCAACATATGAATTGTGAGAATCACTGTAAAATGAATGCACATGTCACAATGATAAAATGCAACATATGAACTACTAAGATGCAAATGCCAAAGCGGTAAGATGCAGCAGATGGTCTGCTAAGATTCACATGTCATCTTACTGAAATATCGTATACTTCGTATGAACTTCTAAAAGTGAACATGTGATGATGATCAATGCAACATATGAACTTTGTTAATGACGGTAAAATGATTGCACTTGTCATAGTGATAAAATGCAACACGTGGACTTCCAAAGTGCAACATAATAAATTAATGAGTTCAATATGAAAACCATTATATAGATAATGATCATATCATGTGACTTAAAGTGCACCATATGCACAACTAATATGCATAAAGGAATTGATTTCACAAATATTATCATATGCAACATTATAATTATACGATGCACATCTCATAATCTTAAAATGCAGTTCTCATTTTGTAAGGAGTTGGGTTTCAAATATTGAAGTTTATTAAGGAGCGATTGAACGATTCTATGAATCAAGAGATAAATTTTGTAATTGCTACCATTAATTATTAATTGCAAAAGTTATTTTGTAATTTATGGCTAGGATCAATTCAGGGATTCTGCCACTTACCTTCTATGGATTGCTTATATTTAGATGATTATTTGATTAATGGAAAGTAGACAACGGCATTTCCAGGGAAATATGTTTTAAGATGACCTTAATAGCCTTGCAACTAATTATTATACGGAAGTGGGTCTTACGATTCTGATTGGCTACATCTCAACCCATAACTACTACCATGGATGTCATACGCATGATCATCCGTATTGATCAATCCAACGTATGTAGTTGGTTTGTAGTTTGCACCGGAAGCATGGTTTGCATGGAATCTTCCCCCTATATATATATATATATATATATATATATATATATATATATATATATATATATATATATATATATATATATATATATATATATATATATATATATATATATATATAGTAAGGATCAAATGAGAATACTTCTTAACGTGAGAAATGAGAATGATTCTGGAGCTTCGGATTTTGGCATTGTGCATCATGTAAAACAGAAATGTGCATATAAAAAATTGGGAAATCTGTATTTCAAGTGTGCAAAAGTTTACACGTAAACGTGCACATTAGAATTTTGCATTACTTTAACTATAAATGTGCATTTTCGTGAATGATAAAGTGCATCGTTTTGGAGCGTTCTCATTTCTCACGTTAAGAAGTGTTCTCACCGGAACCGCACCCTATATATTGTGTAAAGAGATTAGCAGTTTAGTGTGTAAGAGAATGATCAGAAAAATGAATTATTTTGTTGTTTATACTACCTTAATCGTTCATGTTTATTTGTAAGGCTTCTTTTCAAGTAAGGAGTTCATATATGTTCATCATTTATTTTTTAATCAATTGCCTATTTTGTTTAAACTTACTCTTTAAAATACTTTTTTTTTTTGTTTTGACTGATGCGTCAAGAACACCTTAGAATTCACATTTCAGATTATAATTTTCTTTTGTTCATCAAACTTAATGTTTTAGTAAGAACCAGGCTATTTATGAATTCCAACTTCTAATAGTTACCACATTCACCTATTTTATTAAAAAGCAATGCTCTGGAACTAAATTACTTAATGATTCTCATTTTGATGTAACTGCATATGCAATTTATTTGATTTTGTTCCATACTCATTTGGTCTCTTATTTTATATGATCTTTTTGTAGGTTAGAGGGTTGTAGAAACAAAACAAAAGGCTAGATACTAAAAAAATACATATTAAAGAGGTTCAACAGGTATGTCATGTACCTTCTTACAGTTCAAACCTTTTATCATCATTAAACCAATTTTTCTGAAGGGCAGTTCAATCAACTGGTTTAACTTGACATGAATGATTTCATAGTTTCCCTTCATGTTTCATTGAAGTCTTTTATTGATTCATTTTGAATATGAACCATTTGGATAGGAGAATGTGTACCTTTGTGGCTTTGTGGTAATTATATATTTTCATGGCAATTTGTTAATATCGTTTTATTGTTATGGTTATTTAGCTTCCGATCAAATGTGACAGGGAATTTAATTGCTGATATCACATTCATAAAATCTGTCTGTATGCCAATTGAGCTGATACGATAGCCACTCTAACTTCCTAGCATTCAGCCACAACAATAGGCTTTTTATTTCCATTAAAAGAAGAATGCATATGAGGGTCATTTTCAATCCTATCTTATATGAAGAGGTTTTTCTTTTGTTTCAGGAAACAGAACATGGTGATCCCATTTGCCCAAGATAAAATATCTTTACATTTTTCCTCAAAACATGTTGATACCTTTTAATTATAACAGAGCATCTCATATTGTAATTTAGACTGTCAATTGAGTCTTTTTTTGTAGGAAGAGCTAATTGACATTTTTGAAATACTTGGAGGGTGTATTTAACACTATTGGAATTTTAAACATATATGGCTTTTCTTCTTAAGAAAATACCTATAGCATCTCTTAGGATGATTTGTTCTTGGGAGATGGCTACAAGGGTGAGTCGATATTGTGTGCGTTTGTGATAAGTTAGAGACAGCCTTGATCTGCATTAACTTCACTTGCTTATGTGTGTGTGTGGTTTGGTTTAAGGAGATGCTGCCGCAGACCGAGTATGGGAGGTTTAGTGATGTTTTTTTTCTCATAATAAAGCAAACTATATTATGTATTGCTTCATGCTTTGATTGCCTCATGTAATTGAGAATGTTTTATACCTTTTATTTGTCAAGTTCATTGCATTGCTATTGAAGGCATGCATAGCTAGACCATTGATAAAAGAAATAATTAGAAATATCCCAACTATTTGCCTTGCTTGAAACAAGATTTAAAAGCATAGTTGATTTTACAGATTGGGTAAGATGAGAGCTTATGACACAGTTAGTTGTAGAGGCAGTATTTCCAAGGTATGAAATGTATTTTGGTTTTTAAATTCAGGTATCCAAGTCTTGGTGGATGCCCAAGTCAATGCCAAAGTATTTCCATGTGTTATGTACTGCAGACTCTCAAATGTCAGCCTCGCCTCTTTTTTCGCTACTCTCACGCCTCCAAAATACTCTGCTTCCAACGTGTTATCCTTCCCGTGGATTTTTCTTGTAACATATAAACGGCCTTCAGAAATTATACTCCAAAGTAAGAAATCAACATCAACACTAACCCAAAAAGGCATTGCAAGTGTGAGCTTCCTTATAATTGGTTATTTGTACAACATGGCCTGGGACCTCCACCAGCACCGAGTGCTCCCGGAAAAACAATTGGAAATTCCATATGGCATGCAACATTACCGCTCACTTTTCTTCTGGAAAATTCCCTTCCATACCCCGTATTTAATTTGGGGCTGTGTTTAGAAATACGAGGGCTGTGAATAGAAACTCCCTAAATTTAGAAGAATCGCAAATTTCACCCTCCTTAGTTCCGGCCGGTATTGCTACAGTCCTCCTTATAATTATTCTTTAACTCTTATTGATTAGTTTATTAATATACAGTTGTTTATAAATATTTAGTCTTATACGTACGTAGTATTATTAGGACTATTATACTTAAGACTTGCATGACCTAAAATTTTGGGGTAGATTCTAAAGTACCTGGGCAATCTTTGATATCCGCCTACCCCCACTCCCCCAGTCACTTGTTCCTTCTCTCATTTCAATTTTCAGTCACTCAAAGTTCTGATTATGGTGAAGAAAAACAAACGACCATCTTCATCTACTGGGAGTCCCAATTCTTCTAAGAAAAGAAGAACTTCAAAAGATTATGTTGAGCCTCAAGGAGTCCAGGCTATGTAAGTTACATATTTCTACCTTATTATAAACATGTCTTTTATAACTTCTTTTAAGTGATGTGATTTGGATGCTGTAGTTTTTTTTTTCTTTTTCCTTTGGTTCAGTCCACTCAACTATGAAGATATGCCCTTGGATCATAAAAGAAAGTTTTTTGTAAACCATGACATGGGAAGTCAAAACAAATACATAGAGATGCTTTGTTGGATTAGGCATATGGGTTTCCAAGGTGGCACTGTTTTTGAAGATGTTCCTAATTTGAACTATGTTGAGGGCAAGGGCTACCCTCTAGTGGAGGTTGAGGTTCTGTGTGATGACCATTCTGTCAAATTTTTGATCTCAAAAAAGAATTTGTATGTTGTTGCTTGGATTGCTAGAAACAAGAATTTTCAGTTTGATCAATGCGGATTTCTAATTAGAGGCTTTAGTTTGTTATCAGGATGGTATGGGAATTACACTTCTAAGGCGTGGGAATATGTTGGACCTAAACCCATGCGGAAAGCATTGAAGAGCTTAATCAAAGACAATGGTATAGATTCTTGCATCGAGGCATGTGAAGTTTTTTTTGTACATTTGTCAGAGGCAGCTCGGTTCTATCCTATTCAAGCCCTTGTCTCTTCCACCCTAACACCGATTGTAGGTTCTTTTATAAGCCCCACATATTCCGATGAGCTGGATGTTCTTGAAGGAGAGAATGGGGAAACAATTACTGACAATAATGATGTCTTTACTCTAGTCAAGGCTGCGGGGCCAATTGACTTAAAAGCACGAGTCAAAACTCCTGATGTGGTTGAGCATCTCCTCAAAAACTATAGTAACTTGAGCAAGTGTTGGTATGTTTACGCACTAAGTGGGAAGAAAGTTTTCAGAATGAGTCAAAGTGATGTCTCATATTTTCATATGAAGACGCGAAAAAGCCTTAGGTGTACCCTTGCTGTACTATGCGGTGTCAACTTGAACAAGATACTAAAGGAGTGGAAGAAGTTGGCTGGAAGATTTCCAAACTTCAATAGGGAAGATTATGAGTTGATGAGCCGGCGAGTCCGTGAGCTACAGGAGGAGGAAAAAGTTTTTGTAAATTGACAATCAAGTAGGGAAGGAAGAAGATACATGTGGTTGTGTTCCCAGAAAGTGGACAGAAGTTTCTGTATGTTCCCAGCAGCAACCTGAGGCTCCAGGGGACGAAGAAATTGACCAGCAGCCCAAGAAGCAGAAGAGATGAAGAAAAGAATGAATTTTCCCTTTCCCCTATTTTGATTGGCTGGCATGCGTGCCTGATTTGGGCTGTTGAGCCATGTGACAAACACTTTACATTATGGTTTTTGAAATGTATGTCTGTTGATATCTGAGTTGTGTTCTGCTGTCATTCTTCGTTCTGTGATTTCTGCCAAGTCCACAGGTACATTTGGATTGAGGATGAGCCAAAAGCTGGTTTGTCCCATAGTTACAGAAATCGCTGGACAAGCCACGATTCTCGTTCCGGATCGTCCGTACCGGAACGCGGTACGATAGCGTACAGTACGCTGTACGCGTCTGGTTCGCGACTGCGGAACGCGACTGCGAATAGGTAGTTCGCGTATTGCGCGATGTTGGTTTGCAGACTCCATCTTCCGATTCTCTTTCCGGCATGCCAAACGACGCAGGAGACCTGAAGTTCCAAACGACGCAGGTCACTCGAAGTTTGCAGCAATTTCTTCCAAACAAAGGTCGGCGACCTTGGAGGATGAAACGACGCACTTGTTCGATTGTATTTCCAGAGTCTCACACTCCAAACAAATTTCACACCCCTGAAAGTCTGTTTTTTAAACCACCTTTTCCTATTACTATCATCCCATTTTCCTTATTTCAGCGTTTAAGAAGTACTGTTTTTTCCTCCCAGTCTTCGTCCAGTACTCCAGCTGGAATCTGTTTTGTAGCTTCTATTGTTGTTGCAAACTTTATTAAGATTGTTTAATGTTATTGAAGTTAATTGAAGTTATTAATATATTATTAATTATATTTATACTTATTAAAATTTATATGTTTATGGTTCACCGTACCATAAACAAAGGGTACAACGTACCGGCGGTACCGCGTACCGAAATCGCGTACCGAAGAAGCCTACCCCCTTACGTATCGGATTTCTAATATTTGCGATCCACGTTCCCGTTTTTGTACCGCGTACCGAAGCGTACCGCGATCTGTGTGACTATGGTTTGTCCTCCCTTTACTGGGACTTAGCTTGGTTCTGCCAAGTACAAAAAAGTGATCCGAGCTCAGGTTGTGCAAATGACCTTAGCAGTTGTATTCTTTACATGAAATCTGCCAGGTGTGTTTGCTGTCGTGTTGAGAAAAACACGATGTGCACAATGAAAAAATATTAGTGATAAAATGAACAAAGGGAGGAAGGGAACCGGCCTATCGCTGCAGGGATGTTCTGCCACAGTCGCCGCTGCATATCAACCATGCTCTCGCCGCGTCGAAGCTTCACTAGGAAATAGAAGACCATGGATCGTGCGATTCAATCACTGGGATTCATCCATCGGTGCTTGTTATCGCACATAGATGAGGAAAGGACAGAGAGTTGGGGACCGTTGCTAGAAATAACCGCTGGGATCCTCAGGTAGGCTAGTCGATCAACTTGAAACGGATACATTTTGTAAATTAAATCAATAAATTCAGAAATTTATCTTCTAATTATAATCTTTTCATGATGTAAAAGGTTTATTTTCATGCATTGGTAAAATTAAAGTATCAATCACGTAGGTTATCTTAAATTAATTAAAATAGCACCATCGGTAATATTACAATACCAAAACCAATCCTCCATACGAGTATTTATTATGACCAAATACTCTCATCTTGGATTAATTGAAAATAAAATCTAAAAGCCATATTATAATACTAACACCTTAATATTCATCATTATTAATAAACACTAGAGTATTATCTTTAATGAATCGTAAAAGACATGAAACAATTGACATAGTATAGCAGTACATTATCTTAGATTTAATCATGAAAACAGATATGAGGATTTAATTGGAAAATGGTACGTGATTAAAGTATTAATGTTATCTTTAATTAATTGAAAAAAGAAATTAATACAAAAGCATATGTCGTATGATAGTACTGACCTTAACTTTCAAGCAAAATCAACGCATAGAGGTCATGGTCAAGCTCTTTTCTTCTTTTCCCATTTAGCTATGCTCTTTATGATTTCCTTTCCTTGTAATAATTGTTCATCATTTTTCCCTATGCATATATTTTGTGCCGACATCATACCTGCTGGCTACTATGCGTATTGTGTAGTGTGTGTATACACATATACACACACACATTTTCAATTCCTTGTTAACTTCATTTGCATAAAGGCGTTGTTTGGTAAATGGCTCTTAGTTGTCGGTATTAGTTGGTTGTGTCAGCTGTTTTGTAACGGCTGGTTGTGTTAGGTGTTTTGACCGACGAGTTATGTTAGCTGATTATAAATAACTGTTTGGTAAAATTGGTTGTTTCAAAATGACTGATAGAGTGTAAATTGAACCGACCAAATGAAGAAGCTACTCCCCTTAGCTTCTTCCACCATCCATTTTTTCAACTTTTCAAACTCAACAAGCTAATTTTAAAAGTCATTTACCAAACATTATTATTAGCTTCTTTGGCTAATCAAACAGCTGAAATGAGTCAAACAAGTTAAAAGCTGGCTGATAAGTCATTTGCCAAACATACCCAAAATGTGATGTTATTTTCTAGGCTTGCCACATGTCCATCATGATCATTATTTTGTTTGATATATAGAGCTTGTGCTTTAGTGTCTTTGCCAATTTCTTATATGTTGCCAAATGCCAAGATCTTCTTCACTTTGTCTTATATATTCCCTTTAACTAATTCATTGCTATATACTTCGTATATTTAAAAGTCTAAAACATACGTCAGAACACTTATTTCAATATATTGAGTTGTCACTTAATTTTCTATTCACATAACTCATTTTATTTAATTATTTATTTAGTTAAATTATATATTTTAAAGAGCCAAGTTGTGTCGTACATCGAGCTCACCGCTCACGTGGCCACCGCTCACTGTTCGACCTTGGCGGCCCCCACGGCCTGCTCTTCTTCCCCTAGACGCTCGGGATGTGGCTCGGCTAGTCCGAATTGAGGCTCCCGCAACTTATCCCCTAGGGTTGTTCCTTGTTCCCATGTGTCTACCCTTCATTTCCGAAAGAAAGTTTAGATGAGTCATTAGACTCTTATGAATGTCAATTGATGGAATAACACCACAAACACTCATTGGTCCAAATCATCGTCATACCAATTGTAAAGGGTACATCTTAACAACTAGACATTGCAACTTGAGTAACAATAGTTCTATAAGCACCAAAATACATTACTCATGGTTTTCGGTAAACTCTTTTTGTAAAAACTCTTGTAAGAGGTTGATTACATCGTTTAGAAACCGAGATGGCTCTCATACTACTTAATTGTCATGTCCAGAGCGCATCTAGGCGCGTGTACAACTGCCTCACAATCAAGTGACGTCACCCGCAGGTCACGCTCACTCGAATGTACAAGCCAAATCACATTGGCTAATCACATGCTTAAATTCTTGCAAACATCATTATATCATTATGAACACATATTACATTTACTTAGGAAATCTCATACTTAAGCCAAGAGTTATAAGACATTAAGCCGTCAACTTGCCTCGAATGAGCTGTAATAAGCTTCACCCTCTTTGGTTGAACTTCGGTGAAACTCCGGTGAACTTCGTTGAACTCTGACGATAACTCCGACGACTATCTCAACTTTGTGAGAGCACTAGGGACACCTTAGACAAGTTCCTAACAATGTTTTAACATCCCAAAACTCATATCAATACAAATAACCTTAAAAGGGTTATTTTCTGGTGAACCGGTCACTTTGACTTCTATGATAGTGTAATTACCTACTAGAGTCGAGTTCTACGACGGTGTAGTAACGTACTAGGGCCGAGCTCTATGACAGTGTATCTAGTGTCACACTAGAGCCAAGCCCTATGATGATTGTAACTAATAGTCTAGGGGCGGGGTGGCCAAACATCGGCCCAAGAACCCATGAGGTGCATACTAAATTCATGAGGTCACAAAATGTAGGGGTGTGCGCGGTCCGGGATGGTCCGGGCGCGATTTGGCTTATCCCGATCCTGTTTGGGATAAGTCTTTATCCCAATCTTGTGCCATTTAAAACAAGACCGGGACAACCCGAGAAAAACCGGGACGGTTCGGGACATCCCATAAAATATACGTTTGTGAAATGTGATATAAATATAAGCATACATTAAAATACATACGTAATCTTTTTTGCAAATTTAGCTTCTCTAACATGTTAAATAAAACCTCTAATTAACTATTTGTAATTATTGTCTTGTAAATTTTTTTGGTCCGCCCTAATCTTGTGTTTCCTGTAGTAGAGTAGTAGCGCAGAATATTTTTATACTTTGTAGTACACTTGTAATTTTTCTATACCACATTAATTTAAATATCATATCAATAAAGACTATATTTTCTAGTAGTTATTTTGGAAAATACTAAATATATAACAACACTATGTTTTGGAGTAGTACGTAGTTATTCCATCATAAATAATATTCAGGACGTAATAATATATTATGGAGTAGTATCAGAATGAGAACTAAACAAATTCCAATCAAAATAAACAAAAGAAGCGAGACTAAGAGAGACACGAAATAACATAAAATTACACTAGGGAGACTAAGGGCTAGAAAGTTTTAATTGGGTTTGACTATTATATAGCATTAGAAATTTACGAGCACGGTGTGTGCGAATACAGAGGGCTTCAGGGGATGGACGTGGCAGGCGAAGAAGAAGAAAGCCGTGGGGGAGATATGAGCAGACAACCGGCGAGGAAGATGGAACTAGCGAGGCGGGAGTTTTGGGAAAGCTTCGAACGTGGGGGAGAGAGGTGGAGAGAGAAAGAAGTGGCGAGGCGGGAGTTTTGGGAACAGGGCTTCGCATGTGGGGAGAGAGATGTGGGCAGAGAGGTACAAATAGTGTACATCCAATGTACACTAAGCATTTTGGATCTCGACTTTTATTTACTATTTGAATTACATTTCAATCATACCAAGAAAGAGGCATATCTTATATCGATCCCAATAACCCCACTAATGAAACATTGGTCGCAATACATGACTTAGCTTCTCTACATTTTAAAGAGTTATATTTAGAGGAATGGAGATGAGCTAAATGGATTTATGAATTCCTTTCTGAATGACATCGAGCAAGCTTTTTTTTGGGAATGTGAATCGACTTGTACTTTATACTATGTAGCTTTCTTTGAACTACACCATATATTAATTAATGTACAAACTATACATATCAAATACGGTTATATGGATCGGAGTATGTTATGTACTTATGTAAATGTTCATTTATCCCCGCCCCAAGCTCATAGTGTCCCGGACATATCAAATGCAACCCTAACTCCTCTCCTTTGGTATATGTATACATGATTATATGTGAATGAATAGTGAACGTTTTTTTTGAAAATGTTAAGCTTATTATTGGTTCGTCGCTTACAGCCTTACACTACACTCAAATATGAACTCTATTTTTTCACATATAAAGCCCTGAAATTTGTTGATTAGCTGAATATGAGGAAGATATAATTATATAAAAACGTAGTGCGTATACCGTGCAACCGGTATACGGTGAGCACCGTATACCGGGACGGATTTATATTTTTTTTTCCTTTTGTTTTTAAAAAATGGTAATAACTTTTTTATTTTTGATCTGTTTTTTATAAAATTTATATCAACATTTTTTATTTTTCATGATCTTTCAAATGAGACCAATATTGCCTATGTAATTTTAACATATTAACATTTGTGTGTGAAATATGTAACTTTAAGTGTTAAAATATGTAACTCACGTTCAGTCAAGTCAAATGCAACTCGTGTGTATAAATATGTATCTCTACGTGTAACAATATGTAACTTTACGTAAAAAAATATGTAACTCGCATTCAGACAGGTCACATGCAACTCGTGTGTATAAATATGTAACTTGCGTGTATAAATATGTAACTTTACGTGTAAAAATATGTAACTTTACGTGTAAATATATGTAAGTCGCGTTCAGACATGTCAAATGCAACTCGTGTGTATATATATATGTAACTCGCTTATAAAAAGATGTAACTTGCTTATAAAAAGATGTAACTTGCTTATAAAAAGATGTAACTCGCTCATAAAAAGATGTAACTCGCTCATAAAAAGATGTAACTCAATGTATTATCAAATGTAACTGAGGCCACTGATCCACTCCCAAACAGATTCGATCTTCTATTTCACAAACCTATCATCTCCCAAACAGCTTCAATTTTTCTTATAATCCAATACTCATTAATATAATAGTTCGATAATTTCTTAAAATTACATACACAATATTGGTCTCATTTGAAAGATCATGAAAAATAAAAATGTTGATATAAATTTTATAAAAATCGGATCAAAAATAAAAAAGTTATTATCATTTTTAACATCAAAAGAAAAAAAAAACCAGATGGCGTCGTTTTTGCAACCGGGCGCACCATCCTCATGGTGCGCCGGTTGCACCATATAATTTGCGAAAAACGTACGACTAGGTGTATAATTGTAGCGGGTTTGATGAGCCTTGTGACAACCATCCATTGACCATTGCATAATAGGTAAATACTCCCATAATTATACTTCATAGTTTATAAGCCGTAAATATAATATTAGCTCCTAATTAATTGATCTAGAGTAAGGATGTTTTTACTTGGACTGTAATTTGCTGGTCTGGTCTGGTCTGGTCTGAACTGGTCTGGTCTGATCTGGTCTGATTTCTTTGTATTTTTATAACTATCCAAGTCTGATCTGGTCTGGTCTGATCTGGTCTGGTCTGGTCTGGGACGAATTATAGTCCAAGTAAAAACATCCTAACCACCGGTGGTAGTCCATAATGTTCTAATCAAACATGTTAGAGAAGATAATACACACACTACATAGTTAAATATTACTACGTAGTAAACAATAGACTGAAACTACAAACAAGTATTAAAGAAAACATCATGTCAGCTCGTAATACTCCTTATTATCTAGTAAAAAAGTTTTTTTATAGAATGAAATTAAAGTATTATTTATTTATTATTATCATCAATTGTCACATTAATTTGGTCGAGGTAGGGGCACTACTTAGTTTGGGACTCGCCGATCTAAATGCCCCGCGTCAAAATCTCTTTCGTACTTGTAAGAATATGTTTTACACTTTTATGTGTATTTTATATAGTTTAAGGTTAGGTCCTCTGATGAATTTGAAGTCTCCGGTTCTAAATGTAAAATCGAGGCCCCATATGAATATAAAAAAACTTGAAAAATGTATAATCCAAGTACCTATACTCAAAACAATTGAATACTCATTAAAAAGAAGTAAATAGTAAAAGGATCAATGAAAAAAATAATGGATTTATATTTTTTCTTCCTTATTAAATGTATTTTACTGATTAATATTATTATACTTCGTATAATATTACTTCATATTATATAGTACTAAAAGAAATTTAAAATTTTGGGGTCTCAAAAAATTCGGGACTCTGTTTTGGATAACCTATTGAACGCTGGCCTAAACAACGGCCTGGTTTAAGCTTAGTCGGATTTCATCGATTTGAGTTTGATATGAGTACGACATTAAAATTAATCAAATTGAAAATATTCTTGATTTTATAAGATCAAACCGATTAAAACGATTACTTTTTCTATAAATTGTCGCTCTCGATCTCCTTAGTAGGATCGTACCGACATTTATGAATGAAGGGCCACACGTATGGGTATTTTATTTACTAGACATGATGATATGGACAATATCTAATGATAGATATAGATACACACCTATCCTCATTGATGACGAGTCTCCGTAAGTTGAGGGCCCGGCGAAGAGCGGTGGATGACTGAGCTGAGCCGGTACAAATAATTTTTAGAAGTTTTTTACACAATTTTTACTACACTAATGATTTAAACAAGTTAAATTTAAATTAAAATTTGGGGCGAACCGAGACCTACGTTGCCCGGCCCCACCCCTAGTTAGGCCTCTGCTAGCTATGCTATATAAGTCTTGGGCTCCAGGCCGATTCAAGGATTTGTTTCATATAATTTTTATAAGTAGTACTACCTCCGTCTCGTAAAGATGTTCTATATATGTATTCATCATACCATATTGCCTATTCAATGGATAGGTCGTGCAAAATAGTGCCATTCATCTTTCTCCTTCTAATATGTAGTGTCATTGAAGGACAAGAACAAGAAGGCCTCTCTTACGGTTTCTATGACCAGTCTTGCCCTCTATTGGAAAGCATGGTTAGAGCTGCCACCAAAACGTTCCTTCTCTCCGATCCCACCACCGGATCCGCCTTGTTACGACTCTTCTTCCACGACTGTCAAGTTCAGGTACTCTCACCGAAACTGAATTAGATTCCGAAAATAACCCTATACTCTGTATTATATACCAAAAGTTTGATACAATAGGAGAATTAATTAGTTCAACTAACAGTCTTACATTTAGATTTGGGAAATTTCATACTACGTAATACTCCCTGCGTCCCTATATAAAAGTATCCATTCGTTTTCCACACATTTTAATGAAGTGGGGTTGATACTGTTTGGATACTATTTGGCACTGTTTGACACTTTTTTACATTGTGTTGTAAGACAAAAAAAAAGGAAAGGACACTTTTGTTCAGGGACGACCCGAAAAGGAAACAAATGTTTTTATTTAGAGATGGAGGGAGTATATAGGAGTAAAAACAAGTCCATTTACCTGAGTAGAAGTACGCCTAGCTTTATACTCTAAATAGGAGTATAATAATGTCATTGTATTGTTTTTCCCCTTACTGGAGCAATTTTTTAATATTAAAACGCACATAAAATTCAAAACTACGAGAACCATGCATTCATGTTTAGCTAACAAAATAATGATATTATTAGAATAAATTCCACTTTTGGTCCTACAAATTGACTATTGTATTTTCGCCCATATCCTTCAAATATTGTTTTCGATGGTTAAAATTGTCAGAAAAGGACCACAAACGGTTAAAAAACATTAGTCAAGTACCACAACTGGACAAAGTACCTCTAACGTACAGTGAAAGATCTGGACTAAAGATGTAATTATCACAAAACTCGCAGGATCAAAAGTGAAATTAATTAACACACACACTACTCTCTCTAACGTGCGTCCCATATAAAGGTTTCAATTTCTATTGTAAACAATTAAAATTCCTAAATGACAATTAATTAATCATTAAATATTAAAAAAATATAATACATTTCTAATATCACAGTTATCACAACTAAGTTTATTATATTAAATACCTATCAAAATTATTTTTTAAAATATAATCGAGTTATCTTATTTAATTATTGTCTAAATAACTGCATTTTTTTGCCGTGAGAACCTTTAAATAAAACAGAATGTAATATTACTTTTATTGAGTGTATGGTGGTGGACCTTATAATATAATGTCTACTTTGAATAATATCTCTAGGGGTGTGACGCCTCCATCCTTATTGATTTGGAGCAATCGGAGGTTTTGTCCAGTAAAAACCTTGGGATAAGAAAGAGAGAAGTGGTCAACGCTATCAAGTCAATGGTGGAAGTTGTATGTCCTCAACAAGTATCATGCGCCGACATTCTGGTTTTAGCAGCCAGGGATTCCGTTGCTCTGTACGGAGGTCCTGCCATTAAGGTTCCGTTGGGACGTAGAGATTCCTCGAACCCTCCGAACTATAAGCTGGCAGATTCTTTGCTTCCGCCGGCAACCACCGGAGTCGACGAGATGCTCAGCCTTTTCGGAGAGAAAGGGTTCACCGTTGAAGAATCTGTCGCCATTATCGGTTTGTCCAATACTTACGTACTCTTTCTTTGTGCACATAATAATAATGACATAAATTAAAATTGAACTTTTACTTTAAATATCTACCTATCTATATTTATAAAATTCATAATAAATTAACATTCAAATAATATATTTTACAATGATGTATATGAAATAAATTTTTAAGCATAACATAATGTGAGTTTTGAATAATTAATGATCAAAGTTTATAAAGTTTGACTCAAAAGAGTCAAACTGGGAAGATTCTAGGGTTAGGGAGGTAGTAATATGCATATGTATTTTTAACTTCAGTGTTTATAACTTAAAAATTACAAACATATAAAGTACGTGTCGAGTAAGTAATGGTCAAAAATATGTTTAATTTTTTACTTTGGGTGACTAATTATATTATATTATCTTGTTGATCTTGATTCGAATTTTATATACTACAGTGACCATAGCTGTGTCTTTGGAGTGAATGATGTCACAATGTTTTCTTTTATTTTTCAAGAATGTAATTTATTAATACTAGCATGAAGTAAAATAGAAAAAGGAGGGAGTATAGAATCTTGGGAGAAACACATAAATAGGACCAAAACATAGGCATGGAACTTAAATAGGAGTTGAACTCTTTTAAACCCCAAATACGACTACTTTCTCCGTGAAGGACAAAAATAGCCCCAGGCCATATTTGCGCGCAATTCAAATGTCTGGAATACGGGGAGCCCATAAATATTGATACCATCTTGCTAACTTTTTCAAATGGAGCAGACCCCCTCTTCCTAAACCATACGCACTATTTTGACTTTTCAATCTTGTACTACGTACTCCGTATTTCTTCGTCTTTCAATTTATTTGCACCTTTTTGTTGTTTTGACTTTTCAATCTCTTATTTCTTTTCCTTTCGATTTCTTTGCACGTACGGAGCATTATTTTATCTTTTCTTTGAATATTGCAAATGCATCTATTTAAATTAATATTTGGAAGTTAATTGATTAATTATTTTTGAAAAAATCATTGAAGATGAAATAATAAATAGTGTGACTTTGTTAGCAATTAAAGGATAATATCATTATTTTTTACTACTTTAAAAAACATTTTTTTATTTTGTTAGGTTTTATTGCTTTATTTTGAAAAATGATACTCCCTCCGTTCCAAATTGATTCGCAAAGTCAACATTTTTTGGCAATCAATATTAAAGTTAAACTCTCCCTATTGATAATAAATTCATTTTTTAATAATTAAAATTTACATATTTAGAAATTTCATTGGAATCTCTTCAAAGTTGCAAACTTTAAATTAGAATAATATTATAATAGAAATTTCATTGGAATCTCTTCAAAGTTGAAAATATAATGTAAAACGTGACAATTTTTAAAACATTGACATACTTTTGATAATATAATTTAACACTACCTCCAATTCAAATTGATTTGCAATGTCAACATAAACCATGCACGTTATATGCATGGTCTATATCAATAATATATGAGTATAACAATATTTTAACATTCACATTTTACGTTATTTTTTCATTATAAATACTTTTTAAAATAAACCATGCATAGACGCATAGTATTGTAAATATTGACAAAGTATAGAAAAAATGTCATGGTTTTGAAAGTGACACAATGTCAAATAATGACAATGTCAAATAATGACATTGTAATAATGACAATGTCATAAAAAGTCAATGACAATGTCATAAGTATGTCAATGACAATATTGTAAGAATGTCAATGACAATGTCATAAAAATCTCAAAAACAATGTCATAAGAATGTTATAAAAATGTCATAAAAATGTCAATAACAATGTCATAAAAATGTCAAAAACAATGTCATAAAAATGTCAAAAACAATGTCATAAGAATGTCAATAACAATGTCATAAAAATGTCAATAACAATGTCATAAGAATGTCAATGACAATACTATAAGAATGTCAATGACAATGTCACAAAAATGCCAATAACAATGTCATAAGAATGTCAATCATTGTGAAAATTACATTGTTAAAACTAATGACAAAGCTCTAAAATATACGTAGTAATTTTTATTTTCAGCAGGTGCAACGTTGTCAAAACAAAGCCAATTCACATTCATCACTATAAAAAACTTAACAATGTAAACGACATTTGCAATGTCATAACAATGAAAGTGGAACCAAACATTTATAACCGGAACATAGTACTCTTCTTCTCTCAAAAAAACAAAACAAAATGACAATTTCGTGAATGTCAATCACTATAAAAATTACATTGCTAAAAATAATGTCAATAATCGTCTCTGTTTGTGCTCCGGCGGCTGTCGGTGCTGGTGCTCAAGCGACCCCCCGCCCCCCAACTGGATCTTCAACAACCGCCATTTCTATTACTCTTGCGGCCTCCTCCAACAGTCCTTCAAGGACCTCTGCTGTAAAAAGAAGATGCTACAATGTCAAAAAAGTGACACAGTGTCAAGATAAAATGCTAGAATGTCTAACATTATCATTATAAGCATGGTAAAAAATGAACAATGTTGCATTGTCATAAACAATGTCATTCTTTATAGGAGTATTTTATTATATTAAAAAAATGTGACAGCACTCAAAATATATTACAAAGATCGAAATTAGTAGTCACATTCTTGACTCATCATTCACAATGTCCTAGAGTATGTAAATAATGACACAACAATAAAAACAATGTCTCACTTGTTGATGGAGTATATGGCCCGGGAACCCCCGGCCCACAGACTCCTACTACTCCAGCGAAGGCTCAAAAGGCCCAAAAGGCCCAACAGGCCCAAATCACAGCGCCCAGAGTACCAAGCAGTCCGCACTACGCGACAGGGGTGCCTTCGCCCCCCTGGCCGAAGGCTCCAAATTCTCACAGAGCGGGTTTCTCAAGCAAATTAAGAAACTGGGAGAAAACGGCGAAAACAGTAGCCCTCGGCATTGTGAGCCCTCGGCACCAGGGGTGCCATCGGGTGGAAGAGCCCTCGGCTACTGCTCTATAGCCGAAGGCATCTCACTCGACAAGATATCCGCCTCACATGCGTACAGATCACCATACCCCGCACAGACGTCCCGTCCAACAGCCGCATTAAATGCGGCCACATGCGGCTGCCAGCGCCAACCAGTTGAGGTGACCCCTCGGCCAATGAGCGCTTGACACGTGTCCCTGCCCGGCATTTATTGCTACTATAAATAGCACCCCATTTCCTCATTTGTAACCACGCTGAAAACGGCATTCATACTGAATACACTCTCTCTCTACTTTTACTTACTTGCTCTGACTTCTCTCTAAGTTATTCCCCGTGATAACCCTTCGGATATATACCCCCGGGTAGACTATCCATCACTTGTAAAATGAATGTCAAAAACGCTGGCAGTAATACTAATTTTATCAAAATTCTATTTCAATATTTTATTTCACTATATAAATTATTTATGACTAAATTATGGAATTTATGGAGTAATTTATAATATTAAGTAAAAAGAAAAAATCAAAAGACGAAAACAGAAACTTACAGAAAATCGAAAAAGGAGAGCAAAGCAAAACACTGGATACAATATACTATGTACTGAAATAGATGTGGAAATTAAAGGAGAGAAACAATATGTGGAAAACAAACAGTAAATTGAAAGAGAAAAAAAGATATTGAAAGCAAAAAAAAAGAGTCAGAGAATGGATCTGAAAGCTTCACGCTACAAAAAACGAACGTGGAGCGCAATGCGAAGGAAAAGAAGACACAGCAGAAAAGGAGGATGGAGAGGAAGAAGGAAAAGGCAGAGACTTAACAGGGATTTCCGATTTCCACCGCATCGCTGTGCAGCCGCCGCCGCCTCACCGTGCTACCGCGTCGCTGTGCAGCCGTCGCCTCATCGGGCCGCATCTTCGTGTTGTTGTCTCTTTTCCGTTGTGCTTCATCTCCGGCTGCGCCACCACGATTTTCCTCTTCGTAATGAAAGAGAGGTGTGGCTCGTTGGAGTGTGTCGCAGCCACAGAAGAGAGACGAATGTGGTTGAGACAGGGGCGTACAAATCATGGAATAAGAAATTAGGGGTAAATTAAGAATCGAACGAAAAATAAGTCCTATTTTGGAGTTAAAATCATTTAACTCTTATTTAGGTATATACAGAAAGTGGTAGTCCTATTCCCAACCATTTCTCTAGAATCTTAACTCAATTAAGTGATCGAAACTCGAAAGATATGACTTTTGGATGAGCCTCCTCGACGTGGGCTGAGATAAGTATAAAGATCTCACCCCGTTTGTGACTTTATTACTGTTTACTTATTTTCTGCATGCTTCTTGCCTTCTTGCTGAAGAAAAATATAATACATATAAATAATAATACCCCTAATAATACATACTAGCTTTCAAGCATGTGAGATGCACAGGAAATATGTAATTTAGCTAATTTGAAATTTAATTTCTATGGGATAACATATAATGTAATTTAAAAGAAAAATAAACTTAGTCTAATATAGAGTCTGTTTGATAATACTAAAATAAATAGAATTAACTTATTTTGTCGAAATTGATTGAATTCTGGTTAAATAGGTGGAATCTTCTGAATCATGAAAAATTGTTGGGAATATTTTATGGTGTTCAATCTAGTTAGTTATCTTTGTATTTGTGTAGTTATCAATTAAACGTGTAATACGGGCCACAAATGTGTATCAGCCCGTGGGCTTCCTTGTAACCCGTAAGTTAGCTAACTTCTCCTATAAAAGGAGGCTAACTTACGGGAACCCTAACGATCGATAGAGGCTTAGAGTTTAGAGGCGTAAAGATAGAGAGTTTAGGTTTGCCGCTGCTCTCCTTCTCCAGGGAGAGCAGCGGCCGATTTTCATACGGTATACCAGATTTGGGTATAAACTTGTCGATTTCTTTCTATCTGCTTCTTCTATAACTGCTATGGTTGTATGATTGTTAGTATTCTGGGATTATCAATTGGTATCAGAGCCGAGGCGTGAAACAGGTTGAATGTATCTGCGATTTTCTTGGATCTAACGAAGAATGCTCTGTTTTTCTTCTCTTTTTCTTCATATAGAGTTTTGCTCCTGTAATCTTGTTTGTGAACGAAAATCTGTAAAAATTATATTGTTGGAATCGCCTCTCAAAACCGATTCTACAGCATATCTTCTTTTTCGTTTTCTGCAAATTTTCATTTTCGAAAAACTCTCATTGAAAACTCGAGTTTATGCTTTTAACACTGCTGCAGAAACGATTTTGACTTGAAACAGATACAGGAGGGATCGCGACCTTCAGGGCTATTCAGAACAGTTTTCAGATTCTCAAAATTCGACAGTTTTTAAAACCGAGAGTTTGTAAACTCGCGGTCATGAACTCGAGTTTGTAAACTCGCGGTCATGAACGAGAGTTTGTAAACTCGCGGTCATGAACGAGAGTTTGTAAACTCGCGGTCATGAACTCGAGTTTGTAAACTCGCGGTCATGAACTCGAGTTTGTAAACTCGCGGTCATGAACTCGAGTTTGTAAACTCGCGGTCATGAACGAGAGTTTGTAAACTCGCGGTCATGAACTCGAGTTTGTAAACTCGCGGTCATGAACGAGAGTTTGTAAACTCGCGGTCATGAACTCGAGTTTGTAAACTCGTGGTCATGAACTCGAGTTTGTAAACTCGCGGTCATGAACTCGAGTTTGTAAACTCGCGGTCATGACATCGAGTTTTAAACCTCGAGTTTTTAAAATTTGAGAGTTTTGGAATTGCGAGTTTTGGAATTTATTTCGAGTTTTAGGAACTCGATGTTTTGGATTTCGACATTCTAAAAAATTTCAGAATTTTCGGAATTTCTCGATGTTTTGAATCTTTCAAAGTTTGCAGTTTCTTGGAACTCATAATTCGAATCTTGACATCCTTTGCAGTTCACCGAAGCTTTTCATTATAAGGATCTCTGAATGATTCCCTGCTTATATAAATGTTTCAGGAGTTTTCGATGTTCTGATGTTTTTCAAACAGCAAGTTTTCGAGATTATGAGATTTTTCGAAACTCCAAAGTTTTCGAGGTTCCAAACATTTTGAAATTCTGAAAATTTCGTCATTCTGAGGTCTGTTTTGCAGGAGGATTTCGTCATTACTCTTCAAGGCACACTGGAAATTAAAATCTCCTGATTTGGATTTCGAGTTTTTGCCTTAGAATTTTGTTTAAATTCACCTGCTCTCGAAATTCAACATCGAGAACCTCAACCTCGAAGATTTTCCTCAAAAACTCAAAATTGGAGATTTTCTGCGACACTGCACTGTTTTGGCCATAACTTTTGACTCGGTGATCCGATTTGAGCAAACTTTTTTTTGTTGGAAAGCTAACGAGAAGATCTACATTAATTCTCGGGCTACGCCACAGAACCCATTCTCACGCGCCCTCACCCGCAGTCTTTGAGGGTCAAAACGTGAGTTTTCCGACAAACATTGTAAATCACCGATGTCCAGGTCAAAACTTAGGCAAATCTGTTCAAATTCTTTCATTGTCAACCCTGAGGTCAAAACTTTTCTAAACTTCAATGTAAAGGTCTGAAAATCGTAGATAATTCAATCAACCTCGCGTCAACGGTCATCTTACAACAATCAACAATCAACCGCTGAAGCCTCCCCTGACTCATCAACATTATGTGTTCATCAATATGCTGAAATTCTACATGGTGAGCTCAGGGAAACCGTCATGTGTGGTACATGTTTGGATTGCTCCACACACATGGCGGGTATGACAAGCTGAGAGCAATCAAACCTTGCACATTCTGAGGGGGAGTTTCAGTTTTCTCCTCCTGGCGCCTTACACCGACAAAGCAAGGAATCTCTCAACGGATGCAACATTCTAGGGGGAGTGATCAATGTTATCCTTCCCGGTGCCTAACAATGACAAAGCATACCGAGTGCTCCAGTTGAGGGGGAGTACAGAGAGAAAATGAGAAAGTAATGAGAGAACATGTCCCTATGGCTTAGTAAACCCAACTAAGCCTACCCAAGGGACAAAGCCGAGCGTAAGTGCGTAAGTGAGCGAGTGAGTGAGTGAACATTATGAGCATTAGGAAGCAGAAGGCTCGAGTGAGAAGGAAACAATTATCAATGATGAGTCTGCTACCTCAATTGCCTGCTATGAATTGACCATTTGCTCCTAGCCACTAAAATACTCTGGACTATCCCCATAGGTTCAGGACTGAATTTATTCAGATCCCGGGTAGAAGTCGCTGCATTTTGTCCAAACGGCGCATGCACAACCCTACCCTAGACCACTCACTTGTCTCCCAACAGACAGGTGTTTAATCATAGTTCACGGGGAACCGCATCTCTCATTACTGTGTTCTTCCGAGGCAAGTAATACTGACTACAGTGGCCTCAGCCCCATGCCACTGAATTTTCATTGATCACGTCGTGTCTAGTTACTCACTTCCCAAATGTTTTGAAATTTTCTAGGACACAGACACATTTTAGAGTCAGTTGCTAGTCTTCAAGACTTGCGAGAACTTCCATAGGGCTCATCTATTACAGATGTAGACCAATAATTGGAAGGAAGTCCTGCTGTTGCAACATAAGAATCACCAACATTTTCAGGCCATTGCTTTAGAGTTTATCTCTATAGTGATGATAACGGGCGTCTTCACGACCCCGGGGGGCTACGTTATCTTTTTTAGATTCTGCTTGTTTTTCATGTTTTTATTTCCGCAGAATAAAAGAATAAAAGCATGACGTCCCGATTCATCGGATCGTCATGAGGGGGAGAGTGGTCCACATGCTGTTAACACTGAACAAATCATTCTGGGACACTTCACTCCTCCATCACAAAATTCAACACCCTCTCTACTATCTCCGCAACTCAAATCAAATGGTCAGCTACACTCACAAATCAACCATCATTATGTTCCGCTGTGCCACCGACAAGTTCTCCTCAAATGCATTCATTCCAAATAGTCAAAAAGACTACATTGTGGAGGAGACAGAGGTCAAATACTCGTGTCCTGAAGATGAATTCCATGGGCGTCTCCTATTCTCCAAAGAGTATTCATTCTAGAGGCGTCACCGGACTTCATCCAAGCTGATCAAGAGCAACTTCTGGAAGGCAAGGACTACATACAAGATACTGAAGGTCCCTCAACCCCCGGCATCAAAGATCAAATTGTCAAGAAGACATCAAAGGGGAGATTGCAAGGATTTCTTCAGATAGCCTTCCTCAGAAGTCGAGTTCAAAGACAAAGGAAGCTCAATAACAACAAAGACAAAGATATATGCGCTGCAATGCTGATTCAACACGATTGATCACCAAGGGGGAGATTGTTGGGAATATTTTATGGTGTTCAATCTAGTTAGTTATCTTTGTATTTGTGTAGTTATCAATTAAACGTGTAATACGGGCCACAAATGTGTATCAGCCCGTGGGCTTCCTTGTAACCCGTAAGTTAGCTAACTTCTCCTATAAAAGGAGGCTAACTTACGGGAACCCTAACGATCGATAGAGGCTTAGAGTTTAGAGGCGTAAAGATAGAGAGAGTTTAGGTTTGCCGCTGCTCTCCTTCTCCAGGGAGAGCAGCGGCCGGTTTTCATACGGTATACCAGATTTGGGTATAAACTTGTCGATTTCTTTCTATCTGCTTCTTCTATAACTGCTATGGTTGTATGATTGTTAGTATTCTGGAATTATCAAAAATATATGTTAAATATAATGTGATGCAAAAGAAAAATAAATCCATGAGTTGTTTGGGATGCAATACGTAAACCTATAAATGTGAAAATTTTGGATTGGGCAATACGTAATTTATCCAATTTTAGATGTGATTTTTTGGGATCATATATAATGTGATACAAAAGAAAAATAAACCCATGAGTTGTTTACTCTCGATTTAATAGACTCAATGACAATGATGACTTAATCATTCATTAAGTAATGTTTACTTATGACTTAATTAATTGGAAGCATGCTTTAATCATTCGATCAAAAAATCGACTGATGGAGTATATGGCTCAGGGACCCCCGGCCCACATACTTCCTCTACTACAATCAGGCCCAACAGGCCCAAACGGGCCAAGCCCAGAAAAATGGAGCTCTAAGCAGCCCACAATACGCAAAGGGGGGCCTTCGGCCCCATGGCCGAAGGCTACCAGTGACGGAATCGAGTTTAGAAACATCACAGGAGAACAAGGCTTGAAAACCAAGCCTTCGGCAACTGCAGCCCTCGGCAGGTAGGAGCCCTCG